TTTAAGTGTACATGTATTTAGATTATACATTGCTGAGTCAGTGGAGTATCGAATCAGCTGCTTTGAAATATAATTAAAAAACAGGGTAAGTTTGGATCTTGTGCGCGTGTCTTCACTCGCCAGACTGTACCAAGAATAGCATATTCCTTGCAGCGGATGCATTCACAAATGCTCACTCATTGCAGTGTCATCGATCAGAAACGTGAGTGAAAACTCTCGAAGAAATGAGCCGTTTTTGGAAGTAAAACTTTAAGAGGCAATCTCTGTAATGGGACACAGGAGCATGCACTCTCTGAAAGCACCGTCCTCGAGATAATAATGCTGATTCCTTTGGTCTATATCAGTCAACGGTACCCACAAATAAGTACCCCGCCCTACCTTTTGACTTGGTTCTCATAATTGCGTAACTCAGTGAGCGTGAGGTACACACGTGAGGCAGACCAACACGCATGTTCCAGACACGCGCCTGTGCGAGAGACGTACGTTTATGTCATGACATAGTTTTTCCCTTTCCATTCCCTAAAAGTTCTTTTACATTTTGTCTCATCTAGCTAGGACAAGACACTGTAAAATTGGTCACACTAACAACTGAATTCTTAAGCAAAATTGCACTTAAACATGGGTCACAATGGACTGGTATGGTATCCCAGCGGTACTTCCCCCCCCCACCCACCACAAACTCATAGATCTCTTGGCCCGGGTCCCCGGGCAAGTAGCTTAGTAAAGTAAAAGGATTGAATAATAAGAATACATTTTGGTGGTAATTAGTTTCACAAGGGGATTTCTATTCTGTATTTTTGCTGGCAGTTTCATTCATCAGTGATGAAACTTTTGCCTCTCTCATGTTTTCAGCCCAGCAGGAGAGAGGGGGGCCCACATAACAACAGATTTGTCACTTGGTTCCACAGGTAGCCCAAGCCCTATGTGTCTATTGAACTTTGTAACGTAATAAATCTGATCGTCTTGATATAAACATTGCGTAATCTGGGTAATGGCGAAAGTGGAAGGATTTAGGGAGAAATAAGCGATTCTCATGGTAAAATTAAAAAAGTTATTGTCATTCTTCTTCAATAAATTTCTCTTACCTTTTAGTCCTCTGTTTGTCTTTTTGTGTGTTCTACTCGTTTCGCTTTAGATTACATCACAACGTTCAACAGACTCATAGACCTTGGGCTACCTGTGTTGATTAATTGCAAAGTCATCTGGTAATTCTCCAGCCATGGTAAACTGAAACCCGGTGAAACGTGACTAATTTTTCTATAAAGGCTGGACCTTTTACAGAGCTGGTAAGCTTAGAACAAGACTGTTGCTGAGCTAAGTTAAGAACCAAGAACTTGCAAAGGTCAGATCATTTCAAAATCATCTTGAAGGTGGGTATCCTTAGTTTTCTATCTGATTTTAAACAACACCATACATATTAGCTCTAAAAAGATTTTTCATGTCACCCTCGCTTTTGCTAGTACATGCAAAGGCTGATTCAGGTATTTGTAAAAGAGCATTCAATGGTTGCAAATTACCCTTCGAAAGTACCCTTTTGCAAAGAGTAATGGTCACGAATATTATGCGCCATGCCACACTTTTCTTTATTTTTCGCGCTTTTTTGCAATCGTCCACGCACGGGTGTCTCGAAAGCCAGCCAAAGACGTTATGACCTTGTTAGTTGTTACGAGCTAAAACGCTAGGTATGAATTACAAAAGAGCTAAGAGAATGGTATATTTGAAAATTAAGAATCTTAAGAGCATAAATGATTTTTATTGTTGTTATTGTTTTTATGGAATAGGGTTACGGGTTTTATTGCTTGTAATAATGTAGTGCTACTTGGCTCTTTAGAATCAAAAAACTCCTTTGTTCTTCGTATTTGTTTCCAAAAAAGAAACAAGCGAATATCCAAGCATGCTTGTGTCATGTACTTTAACACCTCACAAAAATATTACGTAACAAAGGGTTGATGCTTTTACAGCTTCTGCTTCTTTTTGTAAATGTTTTTTTTAAAGCCAACTTGTATCTTCAAGTCATTGTCAAGAAGTTCTCTCATTTTAAGACCTTTTAAGACATCGGACTGCTGATTATATGGTTGAAGTTGCGCTTCCATGCTTCGCTTTTTCTTCTCCAGGGTAGGTTTTCGGGAATACCGGATCTACCCCGAAGCGCAAAGTCCTAATAAATATGCAAACAGTACAGAAGTAAGAATTTATCAAATATAGAGCTCCAGACATGCAATCTATAATTGAATTATGCATTTTCTTGGGGTGGATGTAGAAATGGGGTGAATCTGACAAAAAAAAAAACAGTTCCCATTGTCTATTTCCATTTAATCTGGCCTATGCTTGCCATCTAAATTGTTCTATTGAAGTTGTCTTCCAGGAAATTAATTCTCACTTGTTTTATTATTATTGTTATTTCAGATGAAGCTGTTTCTTGTACTTTCCGTCGTCTTTTTGGTTTCTGCTGATGCGAGACCTCGAGGTGGTTCATGGCTTGGAAGAATGACGTACCACTTCAAGGGTTTACTATCCACAGCTAAAGAAATGGCGTGTGAAAGTGAATGGCTTCCTTTGAAGAATTTTCTTTCATGCGATTCCTCCGGTCCTTATTCCTTCTGTAACGGTCATGACTGCCCTGAATTCGATGAAAAGAAACTTAACGTCTCTGGCAAAATAGTTGAAGATTACACTTTGCGCTGTTATTACAAACCCTACAAATGGGTGTCAACAAGTTACAATGGTAATTATGATAAAGAACTGTTAATAGTTATAATAGAACTTAAGTAGAAGATATGAATTAAAGAAGGCTCATCTACCTACACGCTGACGAAGCTATCCGTGGCAAACGTATTTGCAAAAACAAAAGGTTTCTTGTAGCAGGCTGGAGCTGTCGGTAGTTTATAGGTTCAGAACTTTGCAGGGCCTTAGGTAACATAAAAAAGGACCATAACGGGTAAACAGATAGGAACCCATTTAGACTGCAAAACAGTCCGTATTTTTGCATGTTCAAGTACGCGCAAGCAGTCAAATAAAAAGAGGTCTGGAACTAGGCTGAAAACAGAGATCGACACTGGGGAGAGTGAGTAAGTTTTCTTTTCTCTCCCCTACGGGCGTGTGAGGCTCGCGCGCACGCCACGCTCTACCGATTTCTTTACTTATTTTGAGAAAAAAAAAGCGACTCTTTTGCAGTCTAGAACCCATTTAAAGCTAATTTACATGACAATGAGCTCCTCGAAGGCCACACCCTATCAATCGGCATGCACCTCAGTATAGCGTTGATTGGGGTAGAGGTGGGGGAGCTTTTCATTCCCCTTCATCCCTTCTCCAGGGATTCACGATAAAACTATGACATTTGGCCTGACATTTTGTAAATATGTTTCTCGATTCATACAGAAAGGAGAACCGACAAATCGGAAGCTTTCATGCGTCTCTTCAGATATATCTCTGGTAGCAACAAGGAGGCGATGAAGATCAAAATGACAGTTCCAGTAACAATGCAAATGCAACCCGACGAAGCTTCCGACTCCTTCTGCAAAGAAAACTACACCATGAGCTTCTTCATCCCGTTCAAGCATCAGACAGACGCTCCTGCAGCAACCGAAGAAAACGTCCGTTTGGAAGAAGTCGAGCCATTTTGTGCCTACGTGAAAGTCTATGGCGGCTGGTCCAACAAATGGAAGGTAGAACGCAACTACAAAGCTCTTGTGGCAGCCCTTAAAAGAGATGGATTTGGCGATGATTTCCGCACTGATGTCATTTATTCAGCTGGGTACGACGATCCAATGACAAAGTATAATCGTCATAATGAGGTCTGGCTCGTTAGTAAAAATCAAAGCCCTGTTAGAAACAGGCTGTAAAGACTATTTATGCCCAAAGATTTTAATGTCTTAACTGTTTTGGCTTTGATCTTTGTGCACATTTATTCTTCGCTTTCAGTTTTGTTTTATTCGAAAAAAAGACTTGTTATTTTGGTATTTTTGAAAAACGAGAAAGTCTTAGCGAGAAAAACATTTCATTTTTGCTCGTTTATGCTACAGCTTGTAGCAGTTGATCTTTTGTACATTTGTAATTATCAGTACCTTAACAGACGCAATTAAAGTGCATACACTAATATCTCTATTGAATTCCTTGTAATTCTGACTTAGAAAGGCTTTTAAAATTATTATTTGTGGGAAAGTTAAGTCATTGGCGGTGTCAAGGAAACTTATTACAAGTCCTCGAGTCAAGAGAAGAGACTATAGTTTACGGTCGAACTGAATTAAATGGTGCGCATTATTTCCTTCTATCAATTTTTTAGTACCGTAACGTGGTCAAATGGGGTGCATTAGGTGGTCAAATGGGGTGCATTAGGAAGATAAAACAACGACACGGGTTAGATGGATTGATGCGGGAAATCTCGGAGTGTGGAAAACAATGCCGGAGTGAATCAATGCGCGCAGAATTGCGATTGTTAAGGCAACCGTTCTTCTTTTTACTCTTTTACTTCTTTCCCATCACCCTCCACATTTTCCGCACTCGGCATTTAAAAGCGCACTCCTCAAACGGAAAACAAAACGTCACTTCAAAAGTAAAGTGGCGCTGTTTCAAACTTCATCGCCATAGTGTTCAATTTTCGGAGTTTCATTTAGGCGAATTCTCCCGAGTTTAGAAAAAGGCAAAGAATCAAAGACGTCTTTTGCTTACGCTTCCATTAAAAGCAAAATTAGGAAATTTCAGGTCGTACTAGAAAGGCACCGCAAAACGCATTACAGAATGTTTGCTGCCATGCGACCTTCACACTAGCGCAGCTGTCGTCGTTATTGCATGATCTTCCCAGTTGGCTCGGAAAACGCGAAAGAGGGTTATAGGCTCAGAACAAGTATTGGCTGGCCAGCGCCGCGCGGAACAGGCGTTTTTTCTGGAATTGAAATACAAGTGTCCGTTTAATACAGGTTGGAAACAATAGAAATGACCATTTCAGGTACTTTTTAGGTGTCCGCGTCCGCTTAATAGAGGTGTCTGTTTAATAAAGGTTTCATTTAAAGTAAATAAGGGAAATAAATTTGGGGACTTCGGCTACTGTCCGCTTAATAGAGGGTGTCCGCTTAATACGGTGTCCGCTTAATACAGCAGGGGCACCCAACGGCAATTTTCGGGAAAATATCTGTTCGGAAGACGATTTGAGATCTAGAATTTTCGGAGCATTTGTTGTAAAATTTCTTGCTTGCCTGCCTCCCCTAGGATTTTCGAACATCTACAAAATGGTTTAATTACCCATTTTTAACGGATTTTGACCCTAAAAAAGGCCACTTAGAATTTCGGGAGCCTTTTGCTGGCTGAAATTTTCGAGAAGGTAAGTTTTTATCCCTATAATTTTCGGATCACTAGACTTTCAGCTAGGAAATCCGAACAGATGAAAAGTTTTTAGGGGATAAAAATATGCCTATATCTACCCTTTGAATACTAAAATACGTTCAATAATGCTATGTTAAGTGGTTTTGAACTATATCCTCGTTGGGTGCCCCTGATACAGGTTTCACTGTAATAATTTTCTAATTTATACACTATATACACAGTCCCTCTGTCCTGTTATGTATGTAACTTCTCTCATTAGTCAAATGAGTGTTTTCTCTACATGCAGTACAAAATCAAAATCATTTTTTAAATGAACAGTGACAAAATAATATGTAAAATCTTGTTGTATACCGACACTTCTTACTAGGTTTCTTTAACCCATTCACTCCCAAATATGATAGAAATTAATTATCCCTGACAACTTCAACTTTTTTCTGGAAAAAAGGGACTAAGATAAAGCTGCACTGCTTACAAATTTAAGTAGGTTTTTGTTTGGACGGTCACAACAATGATTTTGCAAGCCCATCATATATTCTAGACAAAGTGTAAAATATCATTATTTTTCTTCTTTAATTCATATTTTTCAAGTCGACTGAGAATGACTTGTATATAATAATCTTTATGACTCCAGGTTTGATGTGGCTTATATGCACAGAAATAGACACTTAACATACTTGAATACATGTATATACAAGAAATGGAGAAGTATTTCATTCTAGTATATGTGCAGGAGGCAAAATCTGTTCTTGGGTTAAAAAGCCAGTATTCAACCTAGTTTGCTTCCCACTTTTCTTAGTTTCCTGGCTGTAAATCATTCATATGAGACAAGGGAAATTCTGTAATAAGAGAATAGGGATTTTACCTACTGACAGCATAATTATGCTTTAATCACTACTTCATAAGAGGCTCTTTGCGTTATTATAGACGTATCTCCAGAGAAAACAGACAATTAAGGTTTTGCAAAGCCACCAATCGTTTGGCTTTTGAAATGAGGTCTAAAGAAAAACTGCAGAAATTCTACACTGATGATGTTTCACTACCTAGACCTTAATAGTGCTTCTGATTGGCTGAAGCAAATTACCCTTGCAGCGCAACCCATCAGAAGCACTGACCAGAACTGGAAGGTGACACGTCTTCAGTATGGAATTTCTGCAGTCATTCTTCAGATGTTGTTTTGTGAATAAGCCAGTGGAAGCATTGCAAAATGTTGGTCATTAGCTCAGGCTGCCTAATAGATAGACTTTGTTTTCATTTAGCATCAACAACAGCTGATGAAAACCATTGACTACTTTAATTGGAAATTCTTTCAAATTGTGCTGATAGACTATAGTGTAGCTTCCTAATTCAAATCTTACTGAAAGCCCTGGGTGTACCAGCATTCACCTTACTCAGACGATTCTTGCATAAGGGGTAACCACATCTTTGGGCTATCATTCTTTCTTCGACCACATCTGCATAATGGCTGGTAGTGATAAAGTTGCCCTACAACAAGGATCCAACTTAAGTCAATACCTTAGGTTATTTACTTTGAGGCACTGTCAGTGCTGCAATTATATCTGGAGAAAACTGGCCTGAGAATTACAGCCTGCAAAAACAGTGAAAACAAGTTTAATAAGATTTACATACATGTACATAACACACATTTATAATGATACATTGCTCCTGCCAACTTTTTCTGAGTCAAATGCGTGAGTTTTTAGCCTTGTCATGACCGGGATTCCGAAAACGTCCCAGCAACTTCTGAAGATTTCCGACAAGATCGCTGAACATTGCCGAAAATGTCCAAAGATGTTCTGATGAAATTTGAGCACTTCTGAAGCTATTTAAAAGACAACAATTTTAGCATGTTTTAATTTCGTAAGGACACAAAGTCATCATTCAATGCCTTTTTTGAACATTTTCGTGGAAGTGAATTGAACTTTCATTATTACAGGTAAAAAAAGTGCCCATGAGCCAAAGGCCCAAACAGCCAAAGCTTATCCTGGTTTACTTAGCATGAAGCATGACAAGGGGAATTGCTACTCCCCCCTGGATGGGATGCTAGTCCATTGTAGGGTTACCCCCCAGTAGTATGTCGCTGGTACCCCTTTATACACATGGGTGAAGAGAGACAAAGTGGAGTAAAGTTCTTTGCCTGAGGAAACAACGCGACGGGCGAGACTTGAACCCTGGATCTCCAGATCCGGAGTTTGGGGTGTTAACCACTCAGCCACACCCATCTCCAAAGAAAAATTCATCTGGATTTGTGAGTGAGGCATGAGAAATTGTCCTTGATGTGTGAGATCGATTTGTTCAGGTCTGCAGGCATAAGACTCAAGCATAATGCATGAGAGTTGGCAGGTACAAAATAACAAAATAAGACAAAAAAACAGTTTATTCTTTCCTTTTTCTTCTAACAAAATCACCTGTTGCCCAGTTTATTAAGTCATAATGATAAACATTTTGCATTGTGAATTACTCAGCCAAATCAGTGTTTCTAATGAGGAAAGAAAATAAAGCTAGTGTTGCTTGTTTTTAGATATTTTTAACATGTTGAACACAGATGCCTGATAAGTTGGGAGGGGGAGTGGTGAAAGGTCCAACTTTCAGAATTCTGTTAATTTATTGTTAAATTCAAAAATTATTCTGAAAGGGGAAGAGTTAATTTAAAACATCACATTTTGAAACTCACTGACTGTAGAAGAAATTCCTCTGAGATTTCATCCTGAAGAACAAGTTTCTCGACAATTTTATGAGCTCTCTCTTCAGCAGCCACTTGTGAACGAATTGAAGCTTCAAGATCTTTTAGCCTGAAAATATAGACTGATACATGTACTAAGAATTTTCACAAAAAAGTACTGGTATAACTACTGTCTCGGTGGTTCGGTAGTCCCGACTGGCGAGCCACCGAGCCGCCGAGCCACTAAAATATATACCTTTACTTGCTCATTCAATTTTACACTTTTACGTCTTTTATGTCTGTCTTATACTTATGTCTTATATCTTTCTCGTTCTTTAAACACTGTACTTGTCATGACTAGCGAGCCAACGAGACACTTCTGTTTAAGACCTTAAAATATTGCCCCGTATTCTGAACTTGCTCCGAAGCACTAAACAAAAGTGCATTCTCAAAAACTACCACTAATATTAATTAATCTCGATAAATTCGGGCAAACCAAAACAAGGCTCTCACCTTTTTTTGTTCCGCTTGTACTTTTTCTTTGTATCCATCCCAGGTCTTTTTGATCGGGAAGGCTCTGAAACGGAATAAATAAAACAGAATTTTCGAGCAAGAGATAAAACCCTTTAATTTCTTTCAGTAAAAACTATGGCGCGCCGTTTGTTTCAAAATTATTTGTAAACTAGCCTGCAGTGCAGGCGTATTTTGGGTGGGCGAAGTGTCAGGGGCACCCAACGACAATTTTCGGAAAATTATCTGTTCGGAAGACGATTTGAGGTCTAGAATTTTCGGATCATTTTCTGTAAAATTTGTTGCTTGCCTGCCTCTCCTAGAATTTTCGAACTTCAAAAAAAATCGTATAATTGCCCATTTTTAACGGATTTTTACCCTAAAAAGGTCACCTAGAATTTTCCGGAGCCTTTTTTCTGGCTGAAATTTTCGAAAAGGTAAATTTTGATCCCTATAATTTTCGGATCACTATACTTTCAGCTAGGAAATCCGAACAGATGAAAAATTTTTAGGGGATAAAAATAAGCCTTTATCTACCGTTTAACAATGCTATGTTTATGTGGTTTTGAACTATATTCTCGTTGGGTGCCCCTGGCATATACATTTTTTAAGACGTGTTTAGGTTTAAACAAACGTTCACCGAATGTTGCATCGAGAAATGAACTTGGTAGATTATCTCTAAATTTACAGATAACAATGAACATTTCAAGTTTTGGATTCGCCATGAAAATCAACCTCCTGACAGCATCGCTAAACTCTGCTTAAACATATCGGATAAAATGGCCGAAGAAAATACATCAGGTCTAATAAATAAAATAAATCTTTTGAGTACACAACTTAATATTGATAAACAATCAGTTAACTTTAAAAACCCTTGTACTTTCCTATCCAATGCTGAGAATAATCTGACAAAACAACTGAAAAACCACCAGCTAAATTTGATAAGAACAAATAAAAAAACTAAAATTCTACTCCATCTTTAAAAATGAAACAAATCAATCTGAATTCATCAATCATATCCGGAATCCTGAACATAAGCGTGTAGCTTCCAAATTTAGGATAGGAAATCACAATTTAAAAATAGAAACTGGAAGATTTACAATCCCCAAAACTCCTGAAGACCTTACAATCTGTGATCATTGCAACCAAAATTCAGTTGAAAATGAACTGCACATATTATTTCACTGTGATCAATACAACGATTTGAGAAAGACTCTTTTTATTAAAATCAACGACCGAAATACATTATTTACAAATTACAATATCCATGATAAATTCTGTTTTCTTTTTAACAATACTGATTCACATTTCAGCAGGCTAGCTGCTAATTTCATCTTTCAAGCATTTGAAAGACGAAAGAAACAGTTAATTCTACCGTTCCATCATATCTTCATTTCCTTAAATTTAGTTGTTTATTATTGTTATTTTAATCAGTCAACAGTACCCACAAATAAGTACCCCGCCCTGCCTTTTGACTTGGTTCTCATAATTGCGTAACTCGGTGAGCGTGGGGCTCACACGTGACGCAGGCCAACACGCATGTTCCAGACACGCGCGCGTGCGAGAGACGTCCGTTTATGTCATAACATAGTTTTTCCCTTCCATACTCTAAAACTTATTTTCTATTTTGTCTCAACTAGCGAGGACAAGACACTACAAAATTGGTGACACAAACAACTGAATTCTTAAGCAAAATTGCACTTAAACATGGGTCACAATGGACTGATATGGTATCCCAGCGGTACTTCCCCCCCCCCCCAACCCATCACAAATTCATAGATCTCCTCTCCTAGCCCGGGTCCCCGGGCAAGTAGCTTAGTAAAGTAAAAGGATTGAATAATATAAATACATTTTGGTGGTAATTAGTTTCATAAGGGGATTTCTATTCTGTATTTCTATATTTTTGCTGGCAGTTTCATTCATCAGTGATGGAACTTTTGCCTCTTGCATGTTTTCAGCCCAGCAGGAGAGAGGGGGGCCCACATAACAACAGATTTGTCACTTGATCCCACAGGTAGCCCAAGCTCTATGTGTCTATTGAACTTTGTAACGTGATAAATCTGAGCGTCATGATATAAACATTGCGTAATTAATCTGCTTGAAAATGGAAGGATTTACTGTATAGGGGAGAAATAAACGATTCTCATGGTAAAATTAAAAAAGTTATTGTCATTCTTCTTCAATAAATTTCACTTGCCCTTTAGTCCTCTGTTTGTCTTTCTGCCTCAGTGTTCTACTGGTTTCGCTTTAGCTTACATCACAAAGTTCAACAGACTCATAGACCTTGGGCTACCTGTGTTGATTAATTGCAAAGTCATCTGGCAATTCTCCAGCCATGGTAAACTGAAACCCGGTGAAACGTGACTAATTTTTCTATAAAGGCTGTACCTTCTGCAGCGCTAGTAAGCTTAGAACAAGACTGTAGCTGAGCTAAGTGAGGAGCGAAGAACTAGCAGAGGACAGATCATTTCAATATCTGCTTGAAGGTGAGTGTCCTTTGTTTTCCATCTGTTTTTAAACAATACCACACACGTAAGCTCTAAAAAGATTTTTCATATCACCCTCGCTTCCTCGCTTTTGCTTACAAGTAAATGCAAATGCTGATTCAGGTATTTTTAAAGCGTGCAATGGTTGAAAATTAACCATGGAAAGTACCCGTTTTTTAAGAATAATGGACGTGAATATCATTCGCCATGTCATATTTTCCTTTATTTTTCGCGTTTTTTTTGTAAACGTCAACCGGTGCCTCGAAAGCCATTAAGGCCAAAGACTCAACACCTTGTTAGTTGTTACGAGTTAAAACGCTACGTATGAATTATATAACAGCTAAGAGAATGGTTTATTTGAAGAAATTGAAATAGAAAATCTTAAGAGTGCAAGTGTTTTTTATTTTGTTTTTATGGAATGGGGTTACGGGTTTCATTGCTTTGTTATGCAGTTCTATTTGGCACTTTGGAGTGAAAACTCCTTTGTTCTTCGTATCTGTTTGCAAACAAAAACTAGCGAATAACCATGCATGAAAGTGTCATGTCGGCTTTAACACCTAACTAAAATATTACGTAACAAAGTGTTGATGCTTTATAGCTGTTTCGTAAAGCCAACTTGTATCGTCAAGTTGTCGCTGAGAAATTCTCTCATTTTATTTTAAGACCTTTTTAAGACATCGGTCTGCTGATTGTATGGTTGAAGTTGCGCTTCAATGCTTCGTGCTCTTTTTCTTGCTCCCGGGTAAGTTTTCGGGAATACCGGAACTACCCGGAACACCCCGAAGCGCAAAGTAGCTCAAAGTCCTAAAAACAAATTTGCAAAAAATTTTAAAAATATAGAGCTCCAGACATGCAATCTGTAATTGAATTATGCATTTTCTTGGGGTGAGATGGAGAGGGGGGTGAATCTGAAAAAAAAAATACAGTCTCCTTTGTCTATTTCATCCATTTAATCTGGCATTTACTTGTCATCTAAATCGTTGCATCGAAGCTGTTTTCGAGGAAATTTATTTTCACGTGTTTTATTATTATTGTCATTTTAGATGAAGCTGTTTCTAGTACTTTCCGTCGTCTTTTTGGTTTCTGCTGATGCGAGACCTCGAGGTGGTTCATGGCTTGGAAAAATCACATACCACTTCAAGGGTTTACTGTCCGCGACTAAAGAAATGGCGTGCGAAAGTGAATGGCTTCCTTTGAAGAATTTTCTTTCATGCGATTCCTCGAGTCCTTATTCATTCTGTAACGGTTATGACTGCCCTGAATTCGATGAAAAGAAACTTAACGTCTCTGGCAAAATAGTTGAAGATTACACTCTGCGCTGTTATTACAAACCCTACAAATGGGTGTCAACAAGTTACAATGGTAAGTATGATTATAAAGAACTGTTAATAGTTATAATAGAACTTGGGTGTACAACATTCAGCTGAAAGATAGAAATTAAAGAACGCTCAGACATCTATACGCTTTCGAAGCTATCCCTGGCAAACGTTTTTGAAAAACGAAAGGTTTCTTATCTTGTAGCAGGCTGGAGCTGTCGGTAGTTTAAAGGCTCAGAACTTTGCAGGGGCCTAGTTTGTACTTTGGCTTTAGGTACCTTAAAAAAGGACCTCAACGTAGGAAAACAGATAGAAACCCATTTAAAGCGAGAATGTACATGAAAATGAGCTCCTCGAAGGCCACACCCTATGCACCTCAATGAAGCGGTGATAGGGGTGGGGGATTGGGCCTCTTCATCCCTTCTCCAGGGATTCACGATAGAACTACACTTTGTCTGACATTTTGTGAATATGTTTCTCGATTCATACAGAAAGAAGAACCGACAAATCGGAAGCTTTCATGCGTCTCTTCAGATACATCTCTGGTAGCAACAAGGAGAAGATGAAGATCAAAATGACAGTTCCAGTAACAATGCAAATGCAACCCGACGAAGCGTCCGACTCCTTCTGCAAAGAAAACTACACCATGAGCTTCTTCATCCCTTTCAAGCATCAGATAGACGCTCCTGCAGCAACCGAAGAAAACGTCCGTTTGGAAGAAGTCGAGCCATTTTGTGCCTACGTGAAAGTCTATGGCGGCTGGTCCAGCAAATGGAAGGTAGAACGCAACTACAAAGCTCTTGTGGCAGCCCTTGAAAGAGATGGATTTGGCGATGATTTCCGCACTGATGTCATTTATTCAGCTGGGTACACCGATCCAATGAAAATGTTCAATCGTCATAATGAGGTCTGGCTTGTTAGTAAAAATCAAAGCCCTGTTAGAAACAGGCTGTAAAGACTATTAACCCAAAGATTTTACTGTCTTAACGTGTTGGCTTTGATCTTTGTGCACATTTATTCTTCGCTTTCAGTTTTGTTTCATTCCAAAAAAAGACTTGTTATTTTGGTATTTTTGAAAAACGAGAAAGTCTCAGCGACTCTTTTATGCTACAGCTTGTAGCATTTGATCTTTTGTACATTTGTAATTATCAGTACCTTAACAGACGCAATTAAAGTGCATATCCTAATATCTCTGTTGAATTCCTTGTAATTCTGGCTTAGAAAGGGTTTGAAAATTATTATTTGTGGGTAAGTTAAGTCATTGGCAGTTAAGTAAAGGTAACTTGTTACAAGTCCTCGAGTCAAGAGAAGAGACTATTCCTTACGGTCGAACTGAATTAAATGGTGCGAATTACTTCCTTCTATCAATATTTATCACCGTAACGTGGTCAAATGGGGTGCATTGGGAAGGCAAAAGAACTACCATGGGTTAGATAGATTGATAAGGGAAAACCCGGAGTGTGGAAAACAATGCCGGAGTGAATCAATGCGTGCAGAATTGCGATTGTTAAGGCAACCGTTCTTTTTTTTCACTCTTTTACTTCTTTCCCATCACCCTCCACATTTTCCGCACTCGGCATCTAAACGTGCATTCCTCAAACGGCAACGCGAAAAAGTCACTTAAAAAGTAAAGTGGCGCTGTGTCAAACTTCATTGCTATAGAGTTCAATTTTCGGCGTTTCATTTGTCAAAAATAGGCGAATTCTCCCGAGTTCAGAAAAAGGCAAAGAATCAAAGATGTCGTTTGCTTACGCTTCCATTAAAAGCAAAATTAGGAAATTTCAGGTTGTACTAGAATGCAGAAAACGCATTGCAGAATGTTTGCTATCATGCGACCTTCTCACTAGCGCAGCTGTCGTCGTTAGTTATTGCATGATCTTCCCAGTTGGCACGGACAACGCGAAAGAGGGTTATAGGCTCAGAACAAGTATTGGCTGGCCAGCGCTCCGTGGAACAGGCGTTTTTTCTGCTTCTTAACTAGCCTGAACACAGACTTTTTTCTTCCTTTCTTGATTCAGTCGAGGAAGTCGAAGAAGAGAGCGTGAGAAATTGACCTGAAAATTCCGATGAAAGACCCCGGTGAAAGACACGCAAATGACCGCGCACGTGACTGAAGGCGCCGGACGGGAAAGGTACTACAAATGAGATACATCTTTTTGGCGTGAAAACTGAAGTGTTGACAGGCCAGGCACGTGAAACGTGACCTTAGAGTTTGCTTGAACAACAGATATTTTCTAGCCTGCGTAGCAGGCGTCGAAAGGGGCTTCCCCCCCTCCCCTCTCCCTCCCCTTTTTGCGCCTGCCACGCAGGCTAAGATTTTCCTACTTTTCTTTTTAACGCGCAGCTTATGCGTTGCATAGAGTTAGAGTCGATTCTAACCTAATTGACTGAACAAATCTTAATTTTGGTCTATATGTCTTTTATTAATAATTCATTTCTTGTGTTTTATATTTTGAATGAGATCACCCAAGGCCTAGTTCTTGTTCGCAGGATGTTGAATCTTCAAGGGATAGTGTTCTACATATCCAAATTGTAGCAAACATCTTCGTCCACTATCCGCCTGCACTTCCTTCCATTAATACTAGACGCTTTTCCCTCCGAAACGAAGCCCTGCAATGCAACATAAAATCTCTAAGTCCCAGATGCTATTTGAACCTGTTGAGTTTGTGCTATGTGTGAACTGGCCCTACCATTCAAAATATGATATTTTGCACTTAGTATCTAAAGCAAGACATTGGAAAATGGGTCAAGTTCAGGCGATCGAAGGAAAGCCTTGGGAGGGCGTGCGTGGAGCACGTGACACGTGCGTCGGGGATAAATAAGTAAATAAATAGATAAATAGATAAACAAAATCACAAAAGAAAGGAGCTCATAACCAGAAGCGTGCAGGCCTACGTCACAGTGTTCGATGGTATTCGCTCGCTTCGCAAGCCACCCTTGCGCCCTCGGCGCTCACGCAGTCTACTCTACTTCCTTCGTCAAACGCATGCTAAGTTTAAGATATCAACAGGAAAAATTAAACGTCTCTAAATATTAAAACCCCGTCAGCGTGCCTTTCTCACGTGCACGGTCGCCTCGTGCTTGCTTGCCTGAAAATCTCGAACTGTTTTCTCCCTTGTTCGATTTCGGACACTGAAAAAATAGCAGCGGCGAACCTACTCTCACCGAGCACAAGTGTTGAGTGGTGGCCCGTGGGATGTCCTTCTTATCATTACGTAACTCAGAGAATGTGAGACTTGCACGTGAGGCACGTGACTACACATCAACGGCACGCGAGTTCGATATCCGGTTGGTTTAATGATGAGGAGTGATATCAATTGACTTCTCGAATACAAATCCTTTTATATGTTGACGGCTATTTTGATTATTACGCAACCGCACACACTCTCATATTGAGCTTGGGTTGCCTGTGGTCTGGGTTGGGATTTTTGCCTTTTTCGGCAGCAAAATCAACAACAACAACATCAACATTTATTGGCATTGCCATGAGTAGATGGCATTGCCGAATAAAATATTAAAAAGAAAAGGGAAATAGCATTGCTTATTGTAAATAATATTAATAAAATATTGGAGAACAGCACGCTCTGCGTGGGTCTTACTGCGTGTTCCAGGTTCACAGCTGAATTTCGTCAGCAGTTATTGATGATTTACTGTCTTGCATGATTTCGGCCTGGTTCGGCAGAAGAGAGGAAGAGCCACATATCAAAGTCCCAGGTTGCCTGTCAAAGTCCAATGCTAATATGTTTATTGTGCCACTTAAAACTTGAATGAAAACTGCAAAGTCACCTGGCAAGTCTCCAGCCATGGTAAAATGAAACCCCGCAAAATGTGACCTTTTTCCTATAAAGCCTGGATCCTCTCACGAGTTTTCAAGCTTCAGGTCCTTTACACTGCAGCCGTGAACAACGGAGTCATAGCGGAGTGGAAAAAATTGCAGAGAGTTAAGGTACGTAAGCTTTATTGAGATCACCTCTTTCAAAAACAATTCACCTTTTGATGAGCTCGAGTTCGGCTGATTTGCAAAAAGAATCCTTTATGAAATCCCCTGATTATAAAGAACTTGCTTGTGCCTTCAGAATTTGGGTGTAAAGTAGTTGTGCAATACATGTTGCTGGCCGATATATACGTGGTATATAACTGTATCTTCGCCGCGGACAGGTTGTGGAGATCCGGACTCTACTTGCATAAGCGCCCATTATTACTCTGCTGAATTAGTAGGCGGTGAAACTAACAAAATGAGATGCGTTCATTAGCTTCCGTTTTGCATGATATGTCGTCTCTTTTCAATTCAGTCTTTTATGATTATATGTTACCGACGTTCAGTTTCTTTATTAACCTTTGTATTGAAACAAAGTGCTTTCCGTGTCAGTGTCATTAAAAGCCACTGATTAGTTTGTTGTGATAAGAGAGATTTCAAGGACTTTAAACAGCTAAACACAAAAAGGGTATTTGGCTCTACAGAAGAGAAAAAAGCCTCAAAGCCTCTTATTTATCTATAGTCAACAAAATTAGAGAGTTCGTTTCTGTCAAGTCTATGAGTACCGTGTTCATCGTGATTTTAATACTTCGATGCCCTCTAGTAATTAATTACTACGTATGTTGGAACTCTTTTTATTTTATTTTTACCGGGATTTTTACTCTGGTTTCCAGAGGGTTTTTTTCTTACCTATTTCTTGATAGTTTGCCAATAACTCCAGTAACTTGTTGAACTGTTGGTAGACGTCGATTTGTATCTGACAAGTACGTTCAGATTTTCGTTTAGCCGCCTGCTACCTGAAGCGCTGTTTTCAACATTTCTTTCAAGAAAGTTGTTCTCATATCTTTTATTATTAATGTCATTTCAGATGAAGCTGATCCTTGTTCTTTCTGTCGTCTTCTTGGTTTCTGCCGATGCGCGACCTCGAGGTAGTTGGCTTGGAAAAATAACACGCTCTTTCCAGGGCTTAATGTCTGCGGGTAAAGAAATGGCTTGCAAATACCAACTTCCCTTCAGCACTAAACTCCTTTCATGTGATTCTTCCGAGCCTCGATTCTGCGGTGATTACGATTGCCCTAATTTCTATGAAAAGAAGCTAAACGTCTCTAGCAAGGATTACACTTTGCGCTGTTATCCAAAACCTTACAAATGGGTGTCTACAACGTTCAGTGGTAATTATGATATATTATTTTAACAGTAAATACATACTGCATACTCTAGGTTTGCATAAAATAACACAGAAACAGTAGAGTAAGTGCTAATTAAGAAAGAAGCCGATTTGTGACCTGACGATGTTTTCTTGGCCTGTCCGAGTATCTTTTGCTGCTGCATAGTCAACGTTCTGGATTCAAATATCTTTGTAACCACACAGGGACTGAAAGTGGATTAACTCTGGTACTTCAATTTTCTAAACAAGTTTTTATATTTTGGGGTAAAAGTGCCAAATTTCTGCCAGCACGTTCTTAAACACTAGGTTATTCTACGCGGGTTTTTACTGGACACTATCTAATGGGCTTTGGAAGAACATCATCAAAGCCTGTTACTTTCGAATTCGATTTACATTGATTAAATAAACAAGGGAAAGGTTGATACATTGGTATCTCTGGGGATTGGTGGAGGATGTAACAACTTTAAAATAAATATTCAGAGTATCGATTTGCATTCTTGATTAAGGAAATAAAAAACAAAGACGGTTGAGTTAAAGACGAAAAAAAGCCTTTAAAAAAATCACAGGCTTTAATCCAAGATTCGACCCCAGCTGGCTGACCTCTTCGATACCAGTGCAGCGCTCTATCAAATTTAGCTGAAAAGCCGATAGGCCGTTTTCGACATACTAAAATACATTCATCAGCTGGTAAGGTCCTATTCTTTTCTCTGTTTTTCAAGGCTACTGAATTTTATTATATAAAGTGGCCCCTAACCATATTAACCGAGAAAGATGACGATGAAATGATGGATATATATGAATTTCATATATTGAAACTGCGGAATGATGAATAAATGCAAAGAAGATCATCCCAGTTGAAGACTAGATTATTCAGATTTTCAAAATTAAGCCTCAAAAACAAAAAAATTTAAACAGTAAGACGGATGATCAGGAAATAAGGGTACAGCAAACAAATCAAGGTATAAAATAGAAATAGTCATCACGATCCAAAATTGCTAGTGCGCTTATTTTACCGGCATGCACCCTCCCCCGTCCCCCTCTGCAAAGGTAATTAAGGATATTAAAAGTTGCTTAAAGCTACACGAAAAAGAACTTGAAGAAATCGTGGATTTGTTATAGGTAGCCCTGAAATCAAATCCTCGGCCACGTTTGTTAAAGAATAAACAAGTTCTCCTCTTAGTTGGGATTCTTAACCAGGTTACTTTTTATGTTCCTGAATTATTTGTTTCATCATCACTAAAAAGTTCCTTTAGGGTAGAGGAAAATTAAGTTAGTTTTAATCATATCATACTCGATTACTATACCCTGTCCATTCCCTGTCCATCGGTTAGGATGCCACTCCCCTGAAGGAATTCATGAATGATACGTGTGTTAATTGATCTTTGTCTTGTCATTCAGGAACAAGAAGGAGAACCAAGCAAACAGAGGCTTTCTGGCGTCTCTTCAGATACATCCAAGGAGAAAATGAGAAAAAGATGAAAATTAATATGACAGTTCCAGTAACGATGCGAATGGAACTCGACGACACTTCCGACTCCTTTTGTAAAGAAAACGCCACCATGAGCTTCTTCATCCCGTTCAAGCATCAAATAGACGCACCCGCACCAACTGAAGAAAACGTCCATTTGGAAGAAGTGGAGCCATTTTGTGCCTACGTGAAAGTCTATGGCGGCTGGTCCAGCAAATGGAAGGTAGAACGCAACTACAAAGCTCTTGTGGCAGCCCTTAAAAGAGATGGATTTGGGGATGATTTCCGCACTGATGTTATTTATTCTGCTGGGTACGACGATCCAATGAAAATGTTCAATCGTCATAATGAGGTCTGGCTCGTTAGTAAAAATCAAAGCCCTAAAGGAAATGATTTGTAAATTTCAACCATCGAAAGTTTTTTTTTTGCTTCCAATATGTCGGGTTAGTTTCGGGTTTTTATGGAGACAGTGTTACTTAATATTCACCAATTTGTAGATTTTATCCTTGGTACATCATCATTCTTGTTACACGGGACGGGTTAATAAAAGTACATTTACCAATAACGCTTGAACTGGACTTGTTATTGAGCACTTACGTTTATGCAAACACTAACTTAAATTTGACCTCGAGACACGAAAACAGCAAAAAAATAAAGCAAAAGAAATAATGAAGAGAGCGCATTTTTTTTCGTAGACCTTATGTGATGCTAAGCAAATAACTCATCACTTTACCCATTACTTTTCCGGCACATTAGCAACCAAAAAAGGAAGAAAAAGCCCTTTTTAAGCAAATTGTGTCCGTTATGTCGCAACTGTGTGACAACCCTTTAGTGTAAAGAATCAACAAGACATTTCAGAGACTCTTGGCTGGGAGTGACTTCTTACAGGAGCCCATCATGGGCTTCTGCTTCTCACTATCCCATAGCGCTAATGAAACCTTGCTCGCGTGCGCTTTCACACTCTTTCACACTCTCCCCTCATGAGTGTCTCAATGGGGTGGTGGCTTTGACGGTTGACGGTTATTTTTTTTTCCTATTTTGACGGTTTACGGTATAGCTATTGATGATTATCAGTAATATCAACTTTTATATAAATTAATATTAAATGATACTGATTTTGGAGGATGTCTTGGCCTTTAACACGTAAAATTTCGAAATATCTTCATATATAAGCAAGTTTTAGGGTCTTGAAATGTTTCAAAAGATTCTTCAGAACCCAGAAGTTCGTGACGTTTACGGTCATAATTGACCTTTTTTGACGGTTGACGGTTAATTTTTTTAACCCTATTGAGACCCTCCCAGGTGCGTAGCTGTAATGAACTTAGTCTTGAAGCTCTCTGATTGGCTGAGTGGAGTAATGTGCATTCAGTTCATTATAATTCTGTAACGCCAAATTCGCTGGTCTCTCAATGCGCATTACAAGCCGCACGAAAGCTTCTGCAATAAATGTATGTTTTTCATTTCTGGTTTGTAGATAGGTAAACAAAGGAATAAAGGCAAATGCCGTGTTTTGGGGGGGCACCAATTTTCATCAAAAATCTGTGTTATGCTCTTTCACCAGGTAATCACTTTAACCTTTTTTTTCTCTTTTGTCACTCGTGCTCTTGAAAAACTAAGAGGCAAAACTCACGTGCTTTTATTCTCTTCGCCTGATAGATCCTCTGTTTACCTAGAGGGGCCATCTCTAATCCTGTTTATATAATTATGGTTACAGTTTCTTTACCCGGCCATGCATCTGGTCAGTGAACAAACGTGTGCGACGAACCGTGGTCAAGGTGAAACCGTGGCAAAACCATGCACGTGGCTACTTAAGACAAATAAAGACATATTATGTACCGTTAAAATATTATTACACTTCATGGCCCATCAAGTTTGTAAGAGCTCACCAGGTGTATTTTTTTGTTCCCTGGTCTCGCTATCGCCTCCCAGCTCAGTGTAATTTCATGTTAATTAGCGCCTTTATTTTATTATTCTATTTTTTTTGCATTAACAACTGCGTTTTACACCGTCGTTATGCAGTTACAGAGTTGTTTAGTGGCATTTTGGTCCACGGCTAAGCGCAGTTCTCTTCTTCAGTGCTTTTCAGAATTTTTTCGACGATGACGCTGTCTGCTCCGTCTCAGTTGCAGTTTTAGTTCTTTTCTGATTTTTTATATTTGCTTTTGCTGGGTACCGTTTTAGTTTCAAACCACGCTTGTATATCACGCCACACTAGGCAAAGCACTGTACGCTTCGAGTCCCTCTTCCCGGTTGTCAAATAAATTTTGATTCCTCCATTTGTTTTGGCACCTCATTGTCGTTACTGACTAAGAGGGTTAAAAATTGTTCCATCTTATTGCAGTTTAACTTTTCTCAGTTAATGAATAGAACTTCAAGGGTCCTATACATTACTTTTTAACGGGAATTGCGTTATTAGAATGTATTACAGGGAGCCCTCTCAATTTGCCGAGGTGGATCAAGAGGCTCCTGGGTGGATAGAATATTGTTCAGTAACACTCATAATAAATCAGGATTCATAGTAGGTTTAACAGCATAGCGAGGAATTGAAAAAATATGCATTGCTAAAGTCCCGTATTTTGAGCAATTATGAGTTCGCTATTGACTTCACTGTTTGTAACTTGATAAACGAGTGCGGCCTGCTGCGGTTACAAGAGCAGAATTGATGGGCACTAAGTGGGCATTGAAGTTGTTTCAATGAATAAGCAATTTGTTCCAGACAATAATGTAGGTGTGCCTTAGTGCAAAGTACCGGGATAATCTAATTTCTCTTTTCTGTCCTTTTCTGTCCGGGAGAGGAGGTAGTGTGAGTCATGATCATTGTCACTCGCTGTGAAGAGTAAGGTTTTCAAGCAGTATAGTCTGGGGTGGGGTCATGAGCCGATTGCGTGGTGTGGGTATAGAAATCAGAGGATTTTGCCTTAGAATTGGGTATCATTAAAGCGATGCAGAGTTGAAAAGGGGAAAGTAACTATCTAATTTAGTCGGGATTTGACAGGCTAGAATTGAATTTTAAAACTTACCTCAGAATAAGGTAGAAAAAAGCCTGGTGTAGGCTAAGGCCTGTTCCAAGGCATCTTTGATAACTGCAGCACCCAAGCAAGTTTCCCAGCGAAGCCCCCCCCCTCCAATGCTGAAATAACAACGACGAAGTAAACGCTCATCTTGCCTGCGCCCAGACGTCTCCTAAAGGAAATAGGAGACGTCTGCACGCAGGCAAACGCTCATCAGGAGCGCTAATATCATATTCCAACCCTGGGATGCCTGTCCTTCTGAGTTTACATTACGTAACTCACTGTGTAAACGTGAGGGGAAGCGTGCTCCATTGAACAGCATGTGAGATCGGAGAAGGCCACAGCTTAGGCATGTGACTTGGCGCGTGTTTGGTACTCTTTACGTGTGAAGTTTCTACGTCACAAATAGCCCCTCAAAAATATTCATCCTTTGACGCAGCTTTATTTCCAAAAAAAAAAAAAAGAATGAAAAATGTAGACTGCGAGTGTCAGGCAGTTCCTTATTTTTCCTGCTAAAAATTTGGCTGCATCTAGTACATCTACTGGATGTTGTTTTATATGAGTTGGGACATTAAAAGACGAAATATTAATTTAAAAAGTTACACAGGGGTACGTATCTCTTATCAGCAAGAGGTAGGTAGGGTAACTAACCAGCTTGGACAGCTTGTATTAACACTTTGAGTTTGAAACACTGTTTATATTTATAGGACGAGGCAATCATTAGAAGATATTTGATCCGAAGTTTATCATTTGTTAGCAGTGCAACTTGATCAGGAAATGTGGATCAGGAGATGTTGATGTTAGAATATTGAAGAACCTTTCTGGGGAACTAGCTGGTTCTCACAACAAACAGACGATTACTTTGTTCCTTTTTATTCTTTAGTCCGATGTCACGAAGTTTGCTCAACTCCTATTTTAGAATTCTCTCTCTATTCTCTCTGTTCCCGTTTTTTATATCAACCGAACAACCAGCTGCTTAAAATAAACTAATGCTGACGTAAGTCTAATCTGATTGGTTACAGCGGACTAATTTGCGTTACACCTTTGCGATGTGTACTTTGTCAAAGTGATTTTAACTTTTGACTTTTCTCTATGAAGTTGTGGTTGTCCAGTCAGTATAAAATAAGGAGAGCAATATAAAAAACTATAAAGAACTTATTTTGACGTGAATTTTTGACAACAACAAGATAAAGGATTAAAATTACTTTCAGAAGTTTCTTAGTTGTCGTTGAAAATTCAAGAGGTGTTAAGCTTCTTGCCGAAAAATGATTGGTTAAAAGTTTCCATAAATTAACTGATGACGTGTTCGCAAAATCGAGCATCCTAATTAGAAATACTGTACTATACGTGGTCAAAAAATAGAAATTATAACAATAGATGTTTACTCAGCAAGCACCTAGAAAAATCGGAGATATCTCGCTCTTTTTAATTTGAATATATTATATTTTACGTAGAAACTATCGACTGACATGAATTCGGTTGAGAGTGCGAGAAAATCTCTCTAAAAATGGTTAAAAATAAAGACGCTAGTCTTTTCCTGGAAAAGACTGATAAAAGGTGAAGTTGAGGACAAAAATGTCAAATTGTGTAATTCTTAGTGTAAATAAGGCTTTGTTCCTTTTTGGGGAACTTAAATTAAACATATTTGTATTACTGTAGAGGCGTACTAGAATGGGACACTTGCCTCACACTGAATTCATGTCAGGAGAAACTTTCTATCGATCATCATTTTAACTTATAAGCCAAAACTATGAGTAGCGAAATAACTTACCAGGATTAATTAACAAGAACACTTACAACAACTCATCTACAAACATATATCGTAGCAAATGCCACAAGTGGCTAACGTAACTCTTCAGTCAACTTTCTCCTTCAAGACAAGACAAAGGAGAATGAATCAACAGAAATCATTTTCTCATTTCGGGAGAGGATGTCGTTTCATCAGTGCTGATGCGTAGGAGTTGAACACCAAGTAAAATAAATCAGATTGTTTTTTTATGATATTTCCCTTCACCTATAGATATTACCCGAGACGAATGAATTTTGCAAAAAGTCACTGTTCCCAGCGCTACAGTTCACCGGGATTGCAGGATGAATTGCAGACTTCAATTTTGGGCTATGTAGGGCCGGGCATCAAACGAGTTACTCAGAGAACCGTTTTTTCTTAAGTAATGAATAAATGAGCGAATTTTGAGTGTTTCCATGGAAATAGTCCATGGAATGACGGCTTTCTGAAGGTTGAGGAGTTTAATTTGGCTATGCTAATGTCAGTTATTCTATTTCCTTTCAAGTTGGTCAAAGACCCTCTGAATATGGACACTTTTTATGGCCACGTCAGTGTCCGTATTAAAGGGGTTTGATTGTAACTGAGGATAGGGATTTCACACAGGTCTAAAGTAGACACTATCAGACGAGATATCAAGAACACCAAGCTACAAGAATCGCCTGCGTATCAGACATTCAAAAGGCAGGTGAGGAATTGGGTACGCAAGAACAAAAGAGACTTGCTGTTTTTCAAGGAAAAGTTCTCAGGCGTTACTCGCAACTCGAAACCACTTGTTCATTTTATCATCACTGTGTCATCATCATCATCATCATCATCATTATCATCAGGGCCGCCTCAGCCTGGCTGAATGCCTTGCGATACCAACAGTCGGCCTTATCTTTCATGCATGTCGAGAGCTCCATGGTGCTTGGGGCCCCAGAGGGCGGGGTACTCCAGATTTCAATTGACGGGGATGATCGAAGGATTTTTTGGCGCTTGAAACCTTTGATTCTAGAATTTTTCTGGTTAATATTTGGCTTGATTTAGGCCTCGATAACTTCAGATGGTACTATGAAGAAACAAACACGAACTGATTCAATTTCCAATGTTTTTATTTTTCTTTTTACTATCGTTTAATGCCTTCTGGATATTTTAACATGTAAGGCTCGAAAATTCTGCCTGGGATTGCTTTGCGGTTAATCCAGGGTTTTATTGGGGGTGTTTTGTTGGAAGCCCTCATTCGATCATCCCCGTCATTTGAATCCAGAGTACCCCCCCCACCCCGAGCTTGCGGCTTTCTTGTCCCTCATTATAGTGACTAAGTGGAATCATTTTCCACCGAAAATGAAATAGTCAGAGAATAGTCCCGTGAATGGCGCTAAGTGGCACTTTATTCCTCAGTAAAATGTTCTTAGACTGAATATTGGTACCCAATACAGGAAAGTATAAAGGCTCACACAATGCATAAAAATTAGCTTTGCAATACATCACAACTGATTCCGAAGAAACCTCATTCCCAGCGTTCCTCATTGCGGAATCAGCGTCGTTCTTTTTCACCAGTTTGCGCTTGTCTACTGTAAGTCCGGGGAGAGGGGTGGGATCGGTAGTAGGAATGCGAACATGCACGTGCGCGCAGGATGTGATTCAGTTCTTCACACGAGTTCAAATCACGTTTTTTGGCAAATACGATCACAAATATTGGCCAATAATATTTACATGTACCAGATCACGAGACACTGCCAACAGGTATATAATGAACCAGACCGAAATATTTCTCACAACAGTCAAGAGGAGCTGCTTAGTGGGACGCAACCAATTAGAAATTCATTGGAGGAAAACATCAAGTGGTAAAGGTATGTGCGAACTGTGTATATTTTATTCATCAGCTCCAGTATTTGTTGACTTCGCTCGTAGGTTTTTCAATATTCATTTAAAACTCGAGAATTAATAGTACTGAAGACAAGATTTTTCCCCATAGGCAGGAAAATTTAATTTCGCCTGTAAAATTATAGCAATTCTTGTCTGAGTAGCATGACGAATGAATTAATTGCACCTTTTTTGCGTGACGCATCAGTTGGGCCAGTGCCCGTTGGCCGAATTCCTTATTGTCGCCACATTCTAAATACTGACAAAACTTGACTCGTCTAACTCACTGCACAATTATCTCGTGACTGTTTAGTCAGATTTAGAAAACGGACACTAACATATGACATAACCATAGACAGGGTACAAGGTATCCTTAGTGCATATATCAGGAATACGCACGAAGCATCAACAAATAATCTAAACGTCTCTAAGTTACAAATGGCCGTTAGTCCTTTGACATTGCATGCTAATACGAAAGTGATGAGTGGCTCATAGCCATTTTATACATGCAAAACATAAAAATATCTAAAAAATACGTAGTCGGTTTGCAGTGTAAAACATGTTATGTACAGCGGTCTGTAAATTGACGTCAATTGACTGGTTCAAAAGAAGACGCGAGCGGTAGAAAAAAGCGTTGTCAGAATTCAAACATACATTTAGTGCCGTCAGAATGTACCTAAAATATCGAGGTCAGAGATGGAGGTGTCCGAAAAGCAGCGTTCCGCCGAACTCAATCATCACCAAGTTTATACGTTTGTTACGTAATCGCACTCTTGGCGCCCTGGATCAAATACTACGTTTGAGAAATGTACTTTTAGGCTCCCACAGTGGTCTTGGCACTTTTGCAGCTTTGCAGAGTGTATATGTTTTGGTTAAATTTTGTCGTTGGTTTAAATTTTCTTTTCTCCTGTTTCAAACTACCATACCCCCAAAACAAAGGAAAATAAAATTTGAACCAAGGATAAAATTGATCCACAACATATACCTATGGTTTAAGACGTCAAAAACAACATTTGGATAGTTGATTAGGCAAGGAGGCACTTTTGATCCTGTCTTATCATTTGTTTCTGGACTCTTCCTGGTGGCAGCTTTTTTATGACCTGTGGGCCTTTCTGTTAGATTTCATAGACAAAAGGTTATTTTAGCTTGCAAGCTAGCCAATCATTTTGGAATCACAAGGATAAAGGAATTGTCCCTTCAGTTTAAGGGCATTCGGCTTGCGAATTTTTCTGACTGAAGTGGCCATCTTGAGCCATAAAAGATTTAACGAATTATTGTGCTTCAGCTTGCCCCCAGAAAATGCCTGCACGTGCTCCTTAGCGACGAGAGGCAGGAGGGCTTTAGTAACGGTTTCCCTGATTCGCGTTTTCTACAGCTGCCATAAGGTTTTGGCTTGTAGCAAGAGAGGATAATCCTCTCTTGCTTGTAGGCAAGGGAGATAAATTTGGAAAAAAACAGACAACTGTAATTATAGATAATCACATCTTTATAAACCAATCATCGTAGTTATAGATAGGTATAGTAAATAATGATTACCAATATAATTACTATATAAACTTTAGATTTTTTATGATATAGTGCGATATGCAATCATTTATTTTTGAGATTTAATTTTGGGATTTGTCGAGATCTTAGGAAAAACCACAAGTACTTCCTTGCCAAAAATCAGCCCTGAAATATAACTTTGACCCAAGTCCAATAGCACACGTTCGATATATTAAAATTCAAACATGACTCCGAGGCTTTAGGGACAAAATTGCAATTCCCAGAAGAGACTTGAGCGAAAAGAAAACCAAACCAAATAAAGAAAAATGACCAGAAAGCCTCGGACCCCCGTTAGAATTTTTGTCTATCGAATGTGGTCTATTCAGGGGAAGGATTTGTATGGGAATCATCAGGCTAGAACGTTTCAGTACAAACATAAAGAACATCACGCCATCAAACTCTGAGAAAATGCTGGTTTTTCAGGTTTTTTGGTTAGTATCCCGGAAAATGCGATAAAGTAAGGGGAATGCTTTAGAAGTTGCATCGTGAGTTTACGTTTGTCTTAAAATGGCTCTATGAGAGTGGCTAAATTAAACGTGGTCCACTTTTTCATGGGTGTTCTTATTTTTTTTAGATGCGTCTCTTGTTCGCTGCCCTTGCTGTACTTGTGTTATCCTGTGTTGAGGCAAAACCCTTCGGAGATGATCCTGAGCCAGATTTCTGCCACGGGCTTGAATGCCCGCATTTTAAAACGGTCAACAAAACAGACAAGTATGAAACTCGCTGCTATCAAACCGCTTATAAGTGGACGTCAACAGTTGTAGCAGGTAATTTTGCGTTCCTACTGTGTTATAGTCTGTTGCCCTTAAAACGTTGCCATGAACATGTTGAACGGTCTGTATTAGTACAAAGGAATCAAAACATCCTTTTGAAAACGTTTAATGGGCAAATCTTTGTTACGACAAAAGTTCTCTAATTCGAAAGGTTTTGTACTTGGCCTCATTTTGAATCGGTGTTGGAAGCAACCTCGTTCCCAGGGTTACGTTCCTACCCACTCGTCCCTGTGCAGGAACGAGAAGGAGGGAACCCTTGGAACGAGGTAGTGTTGAGAGGGTTTTGAGACTGGCTCGACAATGGCCCATCCTTCTCCTTCTCAGACCACTTTTTCCAAATGAACATGCTTATAACTATTGAAATCATCAGATGCTAGAGTTTTACCAGCTTGGAGTATACTTTTCATTACTTGGCTCTTAGCTTTACTAATATCGATAAGTAGAAAACCCAGGACTGGACCCTGTTTCCCGAGACACTGTTTCTCTTTTGAAGAGCAGATTTTAACTTGCGCTAATGCAGTAAATTTCAGTACCTTTTATTTATTTTCAGGTTATGAGTATGACGAAGCAGTTAGAATGGGTTTCATGCGCCTCTTCAAATACATCGAGGGTGAAAATGAGAAGAAGGAGAAAATCCCAATGACAGCACCAGTAGCTGTGATCATTCAACCAGGCCAGGGACCATTCTGTAAAGATAACTTCACTGTCAACTTCTTTGTACCATTTGAGGATCAAACTGACCCTGCTGCGCCCACCAACAAAGATGTTTTCATCTCGACACAGCCAAAGTTTTGCGCCTATGTCATTTCATATGGTGGCTACTCGAACATAAATGATATCCAGAAGTATTCTGAAGAATTGGACGAAGCCCTCGTTAAGGACGGCCTCGGAGACACTTACAGGAAGGATATCTTTTTTTACGCTGGCTATGATAGCCCATTCAGAGTTTTCGATCGCCATAATGAGCTCTGGTTCATCGAGAAAGAATCTGAATATGTCAAATTCTAGATAAATAACTGCTTTTTACAAACATTGTCGCAGCGTGCACAGGACAATAGTGTAGCTTTTAAGGACTGCTTTTCACAGACATTGTCAGAGCGTGCATAGGACAATAAAATATAGCTGATTTTTTTAATTGTAGCCCAAACTCTATGCTGAATGGAATAATAAAAGAAGACACGTTCCAGAATGCTATTTTAAATTGTATTTACTAAATCAGTTTCAAAAAGAGGCAATAACTTAGTAAACAATGGCATCATCGAAAGGATGGGTCGGCAGGTTTTTATCAAGGTTAAAGGGACAGTGTCCCGATTATGCGCACGCGCGAGCGTCATCTGTTTTTTCTTCAAAAGACAATAGAACTGTCATATTGACTCGACAAGATTTCCTTCCGGACCGCACCGCCGACAGAGATTTGTTGTTTATATTCTCAAGTAATATTTTAGACTTTCAAAGAAGTCTTTCGTCTTATATAAAAATTTGGCTCACGGTTCGAAGACTTATCGCGATTTTATCGCTAGCTGGGCCGCCTAGCGACCCGAAAATCTCGTTCCGCTCGCTTTAAAAACATATTTTCTAATTTGAAACTCGTGTCAGAGGTCAGTTGTTCCAAGTCTAGCAATATCTGCCTGATTTGCTCACGTTCTAGCCTCAAACGTTTGAAAGACATAAATAAAAATGCAATCTCAACGCTATGAATCATCAGAAAGGTTAGTCAAAAATTATATTATGATTTCATGGCACTAGTTTTTCTAAACATGTAGCGCCTGTTTGTTTGATTTTGTCGGCCGTTAGGGAGATTCATTTAAAAAAGTTTGCTAACGCGTCGTTGCAAAACATTCTGCTTCTCTAAGCTCCCCTCCACAAGATCTCCTCAGTCACATCAATGTCTCAATGGTTTCTTTCTTACAGTCTTTATTGTTGCCGTTTCATTTCTGCGTATTCCTTTCACAATTATCTGAGCTTGTATGGAAGCTTGCAGAATGAGAAATAAGCCTTCAATCGACATCAAAGTGGTTCCAATCTTTTGGTCCTCCGGCCAACGGCAATAAAAGTAACGCCAAAAAATCCAGATTTTGCCCAAATCGAAACTTAACAGGAACAATATATCATTGATCTGTAATCCTGAGAAGTTTTAGTGTGGTATTGAACCCGGTCAAGCGCGATGCAAACGGATTTTTCAAGGTTCTCTTACTCTCCTCGCATCTTTTGATTTCGCGACATCCTGTCCAAAAATCAAAGTTTGGTGCATGCGCAGTAACGGGATACTTTTTTCCTTAAGGCTGAGTGAAGAGCTAAGATGGTTTTCCCCTCCCTCAAACATCCCTCGACACTAATGATGAACTGAATGAGATGCGTGCACTAAACCGCACGGTCACAAGCAAACATATCTGTCCCAGAACGATCATGATTCGGGGGGGGAGGGGGGTGAACGGGTTTCGCTGGCAAGTGTGACTATGATCACATGTTTGTTACAACAACCTTTCTTTTGGCTAACCTTAGACTGCAAGTAGAGGTCTATTATTTTACTGCATTTTAAAGTTACTCCATGCGTAACCTATGCGCGTCCCAATCCCATCTGTAACGTCGCTACTTGCAATCGCGTTGGCTTGGATGAGAACAAGATGGATTTAAGAGAAAAATACATATTGTATGTTATTTGTAGTCTAGCTAACCTTTGTAAGACGAACGAGAGATCTTTAGTCCTATTCATTTCGCATTCGCTTTGTAAGATTATGCGTAACGAAAATAAAGAAGGTTGTGATAGGCGACTGCATATAGGGAGAGCCTGTTGAGTAAATAAGGTACGGCGGAATTCTTTTTTGATTTACAAAAGTACTTCTAATCTTTGTGTTAGGCAAACACAATCCAGTCTTTGATAAATGTACGTTTTTCTGCAAACACGGTGATAAAGATTTCAACAGACAAAATTTCCTCAGGATCGGTGATCGGTGATTTAAGTCTAAATTTCAAACTTTTCCTAGGAGCAAGACTCCTCCACCCCCCGCCTGCCTAGATAAACAAAGTGCCTTCTGCGCAAGTTGAGACCGTGATCAAGTGGTTTCAACTCTCTCGCGTAAGTCTCACAGATGCCCCTGGGGAGGAGGAAGGGGGGGGGGCATGGTTGTGTTCCAGGTGTGAGCAAGTGTGAGTCATAGAGAACCGTAACATTTCAGATCTCTAGATTCCGCTCATTCTCTATTGTTAATATGAGGAACCGCTAAAAACTTGCATTACCGTGTCGTGATGCTCAGGGATGGAGCTAGTAATAATAAAGTACTCACTGCATTGTTAATTTCCAACGCTCATAGTCTCAATAGTCACTTCTAAATCATTGATGAGGAAGTATTAAATGTTTTCGGACCTTTAGTAAACTTCTAATAGCGTATCAATTAACATTCATATCACTTCTGTTGATCGGTGCATATGTGTGAGTTGTAATACTCTCAGCATAGCAGTCCATATTTCATGCCTTTTAAATTCTTCAAGGCAAAGCAACATCGCACCTTCCTTCTAAATTGATTGGACGCTAGTAGAGTGACAACTGTATGAGTGACGAGTACTTCAATCTGTAATCTACTTGACAAACCGTATTTAAAGGCCAAAATGTCATTTGTATCTATCGGCTAAATCGGCCAGAAAACATTGGTTTCTTGGAAAGCGACCTGTGATATAGTAGCCTAGTTTTTAACAAGCCTATACAACTAGTGCTGTTGGGGGAGCTAAGGTGGGTCTCGGGCGCTTAACAAAATTGGCCAACAAGAGCTCGAAACGCCGAAACGCTAGACGTCCAGTGTTCCAACATGTTCCAAAACCCGCTTGATCGCCCCTTATAACGCCTGTTGTGCAAGCCAGAACAGCGTTTCCCCAGGCTGCCCTTGAAAGTATCAGAACTTAGGGACACATGAGAGGGAAGAGAGAGCGCCTGCCTGAGAGGAACTGGGACGCCCATGAAAATGTTATTTTTTTCTTTTTGCTTTCTGAGAGAGCAGAAAATGTCTTTTTCAGCCCTCGCGTGTTTCCCTCACGCGTCGCGTTTTTTCTTGCGTCCATTCTAATTTTGTGCGCAGGCTACCCTACCAGGCCACCAGGCCCCAGTCGTTCAAAAGGTGGATGACGCTATCCGATGGATAAATCTCTATCCAGTGGTTAACGCAATTGGTTTCCCAAATACTTATCCGCTGGATCCTAGCGCTGCTAGCCTGCGTAGCAGGCGCTTGGAAGTAGTGGGCGAAACTAGAACGGGCGCGCGAGAGGGAGACACGCGAGAGGTGAAGGAGCTTCTCCCCTCCCGTGTCTCCTTCTCGCGCGCCCGCTTTTTCTTGTGCCCACTACCACTTCTTCCAAGCGCTTGCTATCCGCCCTGCTTGCTACGCAAGCTAAGCGCTGTACGCGCTATCCAGCTTTTTGCAATTGAACAACCGGGGCGGCCCTGGCCGGCGGATTGACCGCGCGGCTTTATCTCGGGGCCTAGGAACTAGGCAAGTGCTTGACCTCGAATGACACAAAGAAGACCCACAAACATATTTGCCGCCGGATGCAAGTAAACTTCACTTCATTTGCATGTATTTACATTTACATGTATTGGGTCGGTAAAATCGTTCTTTACTGTTTTCCTTTCATGCATCGTTAGGAATGGCAACTGGGACTCGCAGACCCAGCATTTCTCGTTTTCCCAGCGTTAGTTTTAGCAAGCAGTCAAGTGTGAATTCAGATGGTTTCTTCGATGATGCAGATGGTGTTGATTCTGCAGGAGCGCACGATCGACAAGAAGAAGCCGAGAAAGGTTCCGTAATCTGGAGTACCACGAGGAGAAAGCTTACTCTGGTGTCTCTGTGTCTTGTTTACTTTGCAGCCACGGCATCATTCGCGATTTTGTCTCCATTTTTTCCCAGCGAGGTAAATATTATAATGACTTCTGTTGTAAATCCCGTACTGAACCTGCCGGGAACTGCAAAACGTTCACCAAAGTCCTTCAAATAACTCAAAATACCATAACTTCTCACTTCCACTGAGTGTCGATCAGTAAGTATCTTTTGAAGCGTCGCTTTATTGTGAAACGTATGGTAAATCCCTTAATTTTTTTAACATAAAATTATGAAGGCTTACAGAAAGGGGGGGGGGGGGGGGGGGGGGGGCTCGACCAATATTTGGGTATAGGTGTGACCCGCTTAGGGTTTGAAACTATGACCCTGTTTAGGGCAAAAAATTCCTAAAATTCATACTCTGGTTATGGGACAAGGAGGTAAAAACCATACCCGGTCTAGGCGCACGTCGCCCTATAGGCCATGTTAAGGGAGCACCCCTCTGGGGTCTCCATAATTGTGATAAATGTCAAAGTGTACAAGGGGGATGAAGATATTGAGGGGGGGCGTTTACCGAAGGGGGCCTCCCGAAAATTTGTATACTTCAAAACCAACACAGACATTCTTCAACGATTTAATGGGGTGCATCACGCATTCCTGCTCCACAGACAGGAATGCGTGACACACCTCTAAGAATGTCTGCAGGGGAGGCTAACTTCGCATTGGCCTTGGTTGGAATGCCACTAAACAAAAACAAATGATTGTGGTGGTCCAACCCAGTTATGAGCAAAGGCTGCGTTCTCAGGTTTTTTGTAACACTGGTTTATAACTGAACAATGCAAGGCAGTAGTGATGTCCCTAAAAATTTATTTACTGGTGCATCCATTTTTTCATTAAGATTTCACATGATCAAAGTATTTGAGTTTTGAAGGAACATAACCCACGGAGTTGTAAAAACATGAATCATGGAAGGTAAAGTCAACCCTCAAAATTAAAATTTACTTTACAACCTTCTCAATACCCTAGTATTCAGGTAGGGTTACCCTTATGCAAGGGTAACCCTGCCTGCCTTCTAAGCACCCTAATAAAAGAAAAAGAAGAAATGTGCTACTGCATGGGTAACCCTCTTGCAAGGGTAACCCTAGCACCAGGGACACCCTTCCTCCTTGCAAACAAGATGAGTGTCCTTGTAGATGGGTCAGGGGTAAAATATGGCACAACGTTTTGCCTGGTGACTCTTAATGACTTAATTACTTTTGACTATGGGTGACAGTAAAAAAAGTGAAATCTTAGTTTGTGTACTGAAAATGTATTTGCTGGGCACCCTATATATTTAGCTTTTGAGCTTCAGTATCTCATTATTCTTGGAAAACAGAGAAATATTTGGCAACTGGGATTGCAATATTTCTGACTGGTAAAATGGGATTTGAGTTACTGGTTCTGGGAATGGCCAAACATTTTCACTTCTTGGACTGCAAAATTTGATGTAAATTTTGAATGATAAACTGAGGAGTGAGCAAAATTTATACCCTTCCCTTCCTAGCTTCCTTTGTGAAACAGTGATAGCATGGCGGCCATACCATGTTTATACTGGTGATATACATGTCTGCTGACTTTGTATTGCAGGCTCAAGAGATGGGTGCATCAGGAACTATGATTGGTCTCATCTTTGGTATCTATCCTCTCGTGGTCTTTCTTGTTGCACCAGTATTGGGAGTTTTTGTAAGTGAACTCTGTGTGCATTTTTCATTGGTAAATCATTATACTGTAAGTGATCTAATCAGAACTATAACAAAATTGTCAAATCTGATTGGCTATCAACTGCCCTGATTTCAGCCTTAATTGGACAGTTTAATAGGACAGTACACGTCATGCCTAAGTAATTGGACAGTACGTGCCATCAAGCGCACACTTAAATAGCTTTTTTGTTTTCACTGCTAGCAAAAAAAAAAAATTTCAAATTTCTTGTGTTTTGATTTAAAAAATAGCTTATTATATCACGTTATGATTAATTGGTAACAGGACTGAGTGAAGTCCAATTCGGTCTGTAATCATACTCGTGATTAAATAAATGTTAATCACTTGTATGATTACAGACCGAATTTGACTCCACACAGTCCCGTTACTATTACTACTAGAAGCCTTGCACTTTCTTTTAACTTTAGGGGTCCAACTAGGGCTGTTTAGAAGGTGGGAGAAATTTGAAAGAGAGATTTGTCTATGTTCATAATAATTATTGTGAGAACAAAACTAATATGTTTTCATGTAGGGGTGGGGGGGGGGGGCTTGTATAAGACAAGGGGTGTTTATAAGAGAGGGGTGTCGTAGGAGGGGCATTTATTAGACAAGAGGCGTAGTGAAGGTCTGTTAGATCATTTACAGTACATGTACAGGTTGTATTATTTTATGTTAATTCTTTTGGCAGAGACCCAGAGGCAGTTTTAAAAAGGATGATTATAGGGGTAATTTGATTAAGTAATTTGTTTTCTTGGACCAGACAGCAAAATAATGATGCCAGAATACCAGTGATATGAGCATACATGTACAAGGTTTTTGTCTATAGTTATTGGAATGAGAAGTACAAAATATACCGAGGTAGTCATTTTATTTTTTCTGCAAACTTGTTCACCTGTAACATTCAAAACCTTTTGCTCTACCTAAAAACCTTGTGCGGAACTTGTACTGTAATATTGTTTGTCCTGGACATCTCATTTTTATTTCTTTTTTAATTATTTTAGCTCCCACAAGTTGGTCCAAAGTTTACATTGACAGCAGGGTTGTTTCTTTGTGCTGGGTCGCAGATATTATTTGGGTATTTATACCAGTATTCATATTTTTTGCTGTAATGCCTTAGCATTAAAGTGTAATAAGTTAATATAATCTGTATTATAGAAAGCAAGTGCTTATTAAATGTATGTTATATTTTTGCATAAACAGTGAATAGTCATCTATGCACTACATGTATGTAACAACCTTAAAGAACATCTGATGTACGTAAAGAAGTGTATTAACATTATTAAATAAACTGTTTTGAGCTTACATGACTTGTTCTAACTATTTTTTCTTTGTAGATTTGTGTCATTGCTTCCAAAGGGTGAAGTGTTTGTGGTGTTTTGTTTTTTTCTCCGTGTTGTGATGGCTTTTGGTGGAGCAGCAGCTGACACGGCTTCATTTGCTATTGTAGCAGGAGAATTTGGTACAAAGATAGGAGTTGTAACGGTGAGCCATTAATACAAAACTACCTGTAGGCATGCAACAACTTGACAATATTTTAGGCAGGTTTTTTTATTTTGTTGTTTAAGTGTCTCTGCATTTAGTTTTTACGGTGGCCAATACACACAGACCACACGCGGCATGCATTGTCCGAATTCTGTTGTCTCTAAGTTTGCAGGCAACAGTGGTCAGAGCAGTTGCTTATTAATTTGTTTTTTGTGCTTCGATTTTTCACCTGTTAGGGAGCAATGGAGACATTTACTGGTCTTGGTTTCATGTTAGGACCACCTCTTGGAGGAGTTCTTTATTCTGTGAGTTATAAATCTGTTTTATTTTATTGACTGTTTCACTTACTTTTAATTTTAGTGAATTGCTCCATTAAGTCATTTCACATAAAATACAGGATGTTACCTTCATGTAGATTCTTTTTGCTTGACATACTTAAACTTAAAATTGTGAATTGTAAATAATATTTTCTTTCCTTGCGTTTAATGTATATATATATTTTCTATATAGTTTTTATGTAGTGTCAGCTCGAAGATATTAGCTTGTTAGCTACTCTAAAATTCGAGTATAAATAAAGTTTTATGTTATGTTATGTTATGTTATGAGGATGTATTATTTTAGTGGCAGATCAAGGGCCAGGTAAAAATCCCCTTTTATAGACCCACCATTTATAAAAATAATTATTAATATTTATTATTATTATTTATTATTATTATTATGGATGGACCAGAAATTATTAATTTTAATTTACGTGAATGATCTTCCGGACTGTCACCTGGCAAGCGATATTATTCTTTATGCGGACGATACTGTACTCTATTACTCATCCAAAAGCGTCAGTGATCTTGAACATCACATCAATGCTGACTTGGGGACAGTGTCTGAGTGGTTCTCTAGAAATCTCCTGACACTAAATATATCCAAATGTAATTTTGTTATCTTTGGAAGACCTCAGAAACTGAATCGTATTCAAGGCATTTCGGTTAAAGTAGAGGGCACTAGCATTGAAAGAACACAATCATTCAAATACCTAGGCATAACGCTTCAACAGTCTATGTCCTGGGCAGATCATGTCGATGCTATCACCATGAAGATTAATCAGAGAATAGGCCTAATTAGGAGAATCAGGAATCTATTGCCGCTACAAACTAGAGTTGCCTTGTACAATGCCCTAATCCTCCCTCTTTTTGATTACGGAGACGTTATATGGGAGGACAAGAACAATGACACCATCATGTCAGAATTACAGATTCTACAGAATAAAGCTGCTAAAGTTATGCTGGGGCAACCACCCCGAAGCTTGTCAACTGAAGCACTGAAAAGTCTAGATTTGAAGTCACTGTCCACAAGAAGGTTTTTTCATCGCTGCATTGCAATCCACAAGTGTCTTATTGGAGAAACCGATTTCAACTTTAATTTTACTAAAAGTCAAGCTGTTCATTCATGTAATACAAGACGCTCTAATGATATTCACTTACCCCTACCCAGAACAAACTGGGGTAAACACACTTTTATTTTTCACGCCGCGAAAGACTGGAACAGCCTTCCAAATGGTTTAAAAGAGTGTAATATTTTATCTACCGGTATTTTTAAATCCAAGTTAAAACCTTTTTTAAAAGATCTCAGCTAATTTTAAACCTTGATATTTTTTTGTATAATCGATTTTAAGATTTTAAATTTTTAAATTTGTTTTACTTGTAAACATATTTTACTTTTTTCGTAATTATTAATTAATTGGTTAGATTAATGCTTGAGGGCCCCACTGAAAACCACCTTGGCGAGTTGGGCTCCCTCTATAAATATTATTATTATTATTATCAGACCATAATTGTTTGTAAAATTTAATGGCTGAGTGTATTGAAATTATGAATTTATTTTGTGCTTGGGGGGCGGGCGGGCGGCAGGCGGGGGTGCACATTGATTAAAAAGTAATGTGTAATGGCCATAAAGAATAGAAGTTATGGTGTGTGCAAGTTTGGACTCCTCCCAAAAGAAAAATTCCTGAATCCTTCCCCAATGAAATACATTAGCCGTATTGTGTTGTATCTTTTTCTTTCTTTGTTTCTGGCAATACCGTCTATTTTAATTATTGTTGTTGTTGTTGTTGTTGTTGTTGTTGATGTTGTCATTGTCATTGAATGGCTTAGTTGCTATTGATCATAATATTTTTTCTTAAAATTTCAGGCAGGAGGGTTTAAACTACCCTTTATTGTCATGGGTAGTCTTCTTCTATCAATTTTACCTGTGGTATTGATCATTTTACCAAGAGATGAAAGTAAGTACAAATCAAGATCTATCCTTTTCTCTATCTTCTCTTAGTTCAATGTATTTAGTGAGCATGTATTATTATTAATTCAACACATTATTATGATTGACATTGACTAGAATGCATTTACCAGCCAAGGTGCACATAAGTGTCTGAGAATACCGTTATCTGTAAAATGCTTTTAAATTTGATGTTTATACCAGCCCTGAGCTTTCAGGTCATAGAACCTCGATATAACAAAACCTTGTTATAGTGAAAGATGTTTGTCAGTCCTTTGCCCTTTGTGGGTTATATCGAAGTTCCGCTTGTGAATGGATGCAGAGCTTTGATGATAGTTTTTTGTTAACATGAAGGTTTTCGAAAGCACATCATTGTTGGATGCTTTTACTTTATATCATATCAATGGGTTTCCCTGCATCTTAGTTCTTCATTCCACAATAATTTTGATACCCCCTATAGAGTAGGAGCCCTCCCTAACAACAACAGTTGTTGCAAAGGTGCCTCATAACTAACAGTAGCTGCTGAAATTAAAAAAGTAATAATAAAGTACGTGCTCAGTAGTGAATGCTATATTTCCTGTTAGTTTTTCAGTCTTTCACCAGAGGTAACTAAGCCAATTTATTTTACTTGTTGCTTTTCTTGTCTTTTTAGATGTATTTAGGGAAAAGAAAGGTTCATTAATTCAAGCTGCAAAGATCCCAGGAGTCGCCGTGATAGGTAATATTTTTAAGTGTATTTTTCCAGCTGTTTTGTCAAAGCCATTCAAGAAGCCTATTCATGTGGTTACAATGTAGCGCTTGTTCGCGATTAAAAACTGTTGAAGGTTGCATTGGGTGTCCTGTGTGTGCGTCATTAATAGGCCATTCCAAGTTGCCTCAAGCTTCTGTTTCAAAGCGAGGCTCAGCGCGAAGCTATTGATATGAAGATGATTTTTTATTCTCATGCAAACAGAACTCATTTTAACATTAAGGTTTTGCACCTACACTTAGCCTCGTTTTTAAAGTAAGAGTTTTTGTAACTCAGAAATGGCCTATTTGTAATTTAGGTGCCCTGTGTACATGTGGTGTTACCATTTATACACGCAATAACATGTATTCGATCTATGACATGTAAGTACGAGTCAGTGCAAACAGGGCCTTTCATTCACCACGCATCCAGCTCTCTCGCGTATCGTCGCCAGCTACAAGGAGCGATAAGAGGCAGCTCTATTCACAAGCTGCACAAGTTCTGTGTAAACGGCCATTTTCACTTCAGCACTGCTAACGCGCCCCCACTGCTTTTGCCAGATCTTCACTGTCATTATTTTTAACAGAATTGTTAAACTGTTTTCTTCTTTCCTTTTTTCCCTATTATTTTGTTGCGTTCAATTTCCGCTCTTGTCCTTTTTTTTCCCAGGGTTTTGTATTCTTGTATCGGGAATAATACTTAGTTTCCTGGATCCAACATTCGCGCCCTATATGAAGAAAGTAAGTACTTGTTCGAGGAAAGAAAACAGAAACAAAGGGAAAAGTCAAAGAAATGAAAGGGAAATAAGACGTCTTGATTCCTTCATCCCCCTTTAGATAAAAGAGCCGGCCCAATCTTGCAATAACAAAAGAAATGGTTTTCACTCCTGGGTTAGAGTTCAAAGTCTCGTTTATCATAAGTTTTGAAGAACTTCGGTGAATGGGGCATGGGCTTTTCGTCTCTACCATCAAAAGGCATTGAAAGGTTTAACGGACGAAGGAGAAAGTATCACACCCAAGTCACTTAACACACAGGCACGTTCGCAAAAGCGAACGTCTATTTCTCGTCTCTCTTTTGAACAAGTCATGTATCCCTGTAATTTTTTATATGATTAGAAATATC